TCTCACCCGTCGCCCCCCTTTCCTCCCTCTTTCGTTCCCTCTCTCCTCACCACCCACTTCCTCTCTCTCTGCCGTCCTTCCTCCCTCCGTCAGTCCATTGGCCAAGGGAGAGGCAGAGATGTGGAGAACGAGGTCTTCCCCTCGTGGCTGAAGGTGGGGGGCGGCCGGCTGCCCCTCTCCTCTCGTAATCTCCCTTCTCACCCGTCTCCCATCTCTCCTCTATTTCTTTTGCCCTCTCTCCCCCTGCTTTCTCCCATTCCGTTGGCCAAGGGAGAGGGAGATGCCGGTCGATGTGGAGATTGAGGTCTGCCCCTCGTGGCTGCCATTTTCCCCTCTCTTCTCACCTCTCACCAGGGTCCTATCTCTACCCCTCTCTCTCCCTCCGCCCTCCCTCCCTCCCGTCAGTCCATTGGCAAAGGGAGAGGCAGAGATGCCAGACGATGTTGAAATCAAGGTGTTCCCCTCGTGGCTCAAGGTGGGGGGCGGCCGAGCCCTCCTGTCCTCACGTCCCCTTTTTGAGAATTCTCAAAGTGTGTTTTTTGAGAATTCTCAAAGCGTGTTTTTTGAGAATTTTCAAAGCGTGTTTTTTGAGAATTCTCAAAGCGTGTTTTTTGAGAATTCTCAAAGCGTGTTTTTTTTAGAATTCTCAAAGCGTGTTTTTTGAGAATTCTCAAAGCGTGTTTTTTTAGAATTCTCAAAGCGTGTTTTTTGAGAATTCTCAAAGCGTGTTTTTTTAGAATTCTCAAAGCGTGTTTTTTGAGAATTCTCAAAGCGCGTTTTATGAGAATTCTCAAAGCTTGTTTTTTGAGAATTCTCAAAGCGTGTTTTTTTTTAGAATTCTGCAAGCGTGTTTTTTTGAGAAATCTCAAAGCGTGTTTTTTGAGAATTCTCAAAGCGTGTTTTTTGAGAATTCTCAAAGCGTGTTTTTTTTTAGAATTCTCAAAGCGTATTTTTAAAGAATTCTCAAAGCGTATTTTTTGAGAATTCTCAAAGCGTGTTTTTTGAGAATTCTCAAAGCGTGTTTTTTTAGAATTCTCAAAGCGTGTTTTTTTAGAATTCTCAAAGCGTGTTTTTTTAGAATTCTCAAAGCGTGTTTTTTTTAGAATTCTCAAAGCGTGTTTTTTGAGAATTCTCAAAGCGTGTTTTTTGAGAATTCTCAAAGCGTGTTTTTTGAGAATTCTCAAAGCGTGTTTTTTGAGAATTCTCAAAGCGTGTTTTTTTTTAGAATTCTCAAAGCGTGTTTTTTGAGAATTCTCAAAGCGTATTTTTTGAGAATTCTCAAAGCGTGTTTTTTTAGAATTCTCAAAGCGTGTTTTTTGAGAATTTTCAAAGCGTGTTTTTTTAGAATTCTCAAAGCGTGTTTTTTTAGAATTCTCAAAGCGTGTTTTTTTAGAATTCTCAAAGCGTGTTTTTTTAGAATTCTCAAAGCGTGTTTTTTGAGAATTCTCAAAGCGTGTTTTTTGAGAATTCTCAAAGCGTGTGTTTTGAGAATTCTCAAAGCGTGTTTTTTGAGAATTCTCACAGCGTGTTTTTTTAGAATTCTCAAAGCGTGTTTTTTAAGAATTCTCAAAGCGTGTTTTTTTAGCATTCTCAAAGCGTGTTTTTTTGGAATTCTCAAAGCGTGTTTTTTGAGAATTCTCAAAGCGTGTTTTTTTTTAGAATTCTCAAAGCGTGTTTTTTTTTAGAATTCTCAACGCGTGTTTTTTTAGAATTCTCAAAGCGCGTTTTTTGAGAATTCTCAAAGCGTGTTTTTTGAGAATTCTCAAAGCGTGTCTTTTTTTTAGAATTCTCAAAGCGTGTTTTTTGAGAATTCTCAAAGCTTGTTTTTTGAGAATTCTCAAAGCGTGTTTTTTAAGAATTCTCAGAGCGTGTTTTTTTAGAATTCTCAAAGCGTGTTTTTTTAGAATTCTCAAAGCGTGTTTTTTGAGAATTCTCAAAGCGTGTTTTTTGAGAATTCTCAAAGCGTGTTTTTTGAGAATTCTCAAAGCGTGCTTTTTGAGAATTCTCAAAGCGTGTTTTTTGAGAATTCTCAAAGCGTGTTTTTTTAGAATTCTCAAAGTGTGTTTTTTCAGAATTCTCAAAGCGTGTTTTTTTTTAGAATTCTCAAAGCGTGTTTCTTGAGAATTCTCAAAGCGTGTTTTTTGAGAATTCTCAAAGCGTGTTTTTTTAGAATTCTCAAAGCGTGTTTTTTTAGAATTCTCAAAGCGTGTTTTTTTAGAATTCTCAAAGCGTGTTTTTTTTTAGAATTCTCAAAGCGTGTTTTTTGAGAATTCTCAAAGCGTGTTTTTTGAGAATTCTCAAAGCGTGTTTTTTTAGAATTCTCAAAGCGTGTTTTTTGAGAATTCTCAAGGTGGGGGGAGGTCGAACCCTCCTGTCCTCACGTCCCCTTTCCCTCCTCTCTTCTCTTCTCTCCTTCCTCCCTCCTCCGTCCCTCCCTCCCTCCTCGGTCTCTCCCTCCTGTCAGTCCGTTGACAAAGGGAGAGGCAGAGATGCCAGACGACGTGGAGATCGAGGTCTTCCCCTCGTGGCTCAAGGTGGGCGGCGGCCGAGTCCTCCTGTCCTCACCTCCCCTGTCCCTCCTCTCCTTCTCTTCTCCTCTCTCCCCCCTCCCTCCCATCAGTCCATTGGCCAAGGAAGAGGCAGAGATGCCAGACGACGTGGAAATCGAGGTCTTCCCGTCGTGGCTCAAGGTGGGGGGCGGCCGCCTGCGCATGATGCTCCGGGAGGGGGAGAACCTCGAGTCCAACAAGCACGCCAACCCCTTCGTGCAGCTGCGCTTCCGTGCGCACGAGTGGACGAGCAAGGTGCACAAGAAGGCGGCAGAGCTGACGTTCGATGAGGACGACAAGTGGGAGCTGCTGCTGGATGAGCCTCCTGCCAAGGACGTGCTGCATGTGAAGGTCTACAGCAAGAACATGAGCACGCTCTCTATCTCCTCCTCCAAGGTACGCACCTCTCCTTGACAACACCTTCCTTCACTCTTCTAGCACTGTGCCTCAGCAGGGTCTCCCCAAGTCCTCCTGCCAAGGACGTGCTCCATGTGAAGGTCTACAGCAAGAACATGAGCACGCTCTCCATCTCCTCCTCCAAGGTACGTGCTGGAAACACCTATTCACCGCTCTCCACCTCCTAGCAGCATACCACAGTACATTTTCTACTCTCTCCATGTGAAGGTCTACAGCAAGGACATGAGCACGCTCTCCATCTCCTCCTCCAAGGTACGGTCTTGTCTGACGTCTTACGTTCTCCAATATGGTCAAGGTAGCTTCCACCTTTCTCACAGAGCAATGTGAGCCCTACACTCTCCGCTGCTGGATGAGCCTCCTGCCAAGAACGTGCTCCATGTGAAGGTCTACAGCAAGAACATGAGCACGCTCTCCATCTCCTCCAAGGTTCGGTCTTACTGATGTGAGTAGTACCACAGCCTTAGCCTTACTGTGAATTTTCTTACATATGTTCTCTTTCTCTCTCTGTCCTCCCCCCCCCCCCCCCCCTGGCTCACACCCCGGCTCCCTCTCTCACATTTCCCCTCCCCTGCACCTCCCCATCCCCCTCTGCAGGATTGCATAAGCCATTGCGACATCAGCCTCTCAGACGTGGTGGCGACCGGGCGCATCAACGACGTCTACCTGCTCACTTCCTCCCTCTCTCTCTCTGTCATCTCCCTCTAACTCAGACCCCTCCCAACCTGAGCAGGATGCCACTGCGACATCAGCCTCTCAGATGTGGTGGCGACCGGGTGCATCAACGACTGCTTTCTAATTCTCTCTCTCTTTCTTGCTGCCATCTCCCTCCCACTCTCACCCCTCCCAACCTGAGCAGGACCTCGTCGGTCATTGTGGCATCAATCTCTAAGACGTGGTGGACAACGGGCGCATCACACTCAGTCTCCTCATCTCCTCCCCACCCCTCTCCATCCCTTCCCCATTCCCCTCCATATGACCTCATCGGTCACTGCGACATCAATCTGTCAGACGTGGTGGCCAGCTTTACTATTCCTTCCTTTCCCGCCTCACATATTCTTCCCCTCCCCATTCTCCTCGACAGGACCTGATTGGTCACTGCGACATCAACCTGTCAGACGTGGTGGCCAATGGGCGAATCAACGACTTCTATCTGCTCTCAGACTCTCCCAAGAATGGGCGCATCAAGATCGAGCTGCAGTGGCACGAGCGCACCCCCGAGTCCACCGTCATCAACGAGCCTCCTCCTGCCACCCGTGTGCAGTAGAGGAGAGTTGGAAGGCAAGCCTCCTCCTGCTGGCCAGTGGCCACCACTTGGCATGCAGAAGGGGTGAGCCGCCTTCTGTCACTAGGGTGCAGGAGCGCACCCCCGAGTCAACCGTCGTCAACAAACCGCCTCCTGTCACCTGGGTGTAATAGAGTCCCATCCTTGCCGCGCATTTTTTTGTGGCTGGAGCTAGTGTAGTGTAGGCTAGGTAGAGTCACTGCACTACAGATCATTGCAGTGAAGAGAAGGTTGGTTGTGATTGGATGTGTGGTGTTGACAGGCTTGTTGCATTGGCTTTTGGTAGTGGTAGAGGTGAATTGAGATGAGGTGCCTCAGTGAGTTTCACTGAAGGAACTTGACTCGAGAAATGTTTTAACACTTTTTAGTATTGTTGTCTTGAGGTTTATATTCATGAAAACATGGAAGATTAGCAGTACCGTGTTATAGTTTCATCATTGACATCCAAACAACCTGGTTCTCAGTGCTATCTAAGAGGAAATTTATATATCGACAGGTGTACACTCAGCAGTAATCTGCACAAGCACATGCACTCCATCCTCTCTGTTCAACTCAGCTACACCCACCCGAAACAGCTGTTCATCGTTGGGAGATATTCCAACTCGAGTTCAGTCCCAGATTCTTCCCCAGCAAATGCAGTCTGAATCATGGTATTGTTGATCCTTGAGCTCCTACTTCCCAAATGTCCTCATTCACGCCGTCAGCCTCACTCCCCTGTCGTTACATTACTACATGTTTAAAGCCAGGCATTGTCATGCATTCAGAGGCGGTAAGACAGCATCAGGCCCCACATGGTCGTCAGCAGCAGTCGACATAAGAGCACACTCGTCCTGCAGTGCTTGACCTAGCATCTCAGCCGACAGGCTGTCTCCCGGACACAACCCCAGCGCCTGTTCATGCTCAAGGGGGGTTGTCAAGGAGAAGGGGGGTTGTCAAGGAGAAGGGGGGTTGTCAAGGAGAAGGGGGGTTGTCAAGGAGAAGGGGGGGCCAAGGGGAGTGAAAGATGCATATATCATGACTTACAGAAGCCCAGAGCCTGCTTATGTTTGTGAGCAGTGGTTTGGGAGGGGGAATGAGAAGGGGGGGTGGTTGGGGAGGGGGAATGAGAAGGGGGGGTGGTTGGGGAGGGGGAATGAGAAGGGGAATGGGGAAGCAAATGCTTCCATAATTGCACACTTGACATGACTGGAAGGGAGAAGAGGGGCTTGGGGAGTGGGGACAGGCGGGAAGGAGGGGAGTGGGGGATGTGCTGTGCTGTGATGCATGGTGCCCAGAGTCAATACACACCTGGTGCGACTCAGCGACAGCAGCATGTTGACTTTTGAGTCGACTCAAAAGTCAACTCGCTGTAATGCATGGTGCCCGAGAGTCAATACACACCTGGTGCGACTCAGCGACAGCTGCATGTTTCCACCATAGACTTGTGCAGGAACAAATAAAGACAGCAAAAAGCACAGAGTGGGTTTGGCCAAGGAATTAAAGAAAGAACAGATAGGTTGTTGGGAACGGGATAAGGTTTGTACAACAGTAATAAGAGCCAATCCCACCTTGTGGTAGAACTCAATAGCGGGGATGAGGTTTCCCTGCAGGTGGTGGGTGAAGGCCATGGCTGCAAAGGTGCTGGCAGTGTTGGGGCGGAGAGAGAGAGCCTGCTCATACACCATCAGCGCATCGCCGTATCTCCTGCTTGGATGAATGGGGGAACGGAAAAAAACGGAGGGGGGTGGGAAAGGGGGAAACGAAGTGGTGGGTGAAGGCCATGGCTGCAAAGGTGCTGGCTGGTAGTGTTGGGGCGGAGAGAGACACCATCAGCGCGTTGCCGTATCTCCTGCTCCAGGTGCGGAGAGCAAACAGAAAAGAAGGAAGGTGGTTGGTCACAATGAAAGGGCATCGCCTCACTTCCCTCGATTTTTGAGGCGCCTCAAAGAAGGTGGTTGGTCACAATGAAAGGGCGTCGCCTCACTTCCCTCCTCGCAATTCCCTCGCCCCATTTTTCTCACCCCATTTCCCTCAACCGAATCCCCCCACCCCATTCCCCCCACCCCATTCCCCCCACCCCATTCCCCCCACCCCATTCCCCCCACCCCATTCACCCCACCCCATTCTCCCCAATCCACTCCCCTCACCTCCATTCCCCTCACCCCGTTCCCTCACCTCATTCCCCTCACCCCAACTCCCTCACCTCATTTTCCGGTACGAGTGACCGAGGTTGACCACGGTTGACTCCCACAAACCCAGCGACTCCGCCACCACAGCCTGCCGCCCTGCTGCCGCATTCGAGCTCCCCCTCCCCCCCTCGCTCTCTGCCCCCCCTCCCTCCCCCGCTGCTGCTCCGTAACCAGCCACCAGCCGCAGAGCCATTTCAAAGTGCCGCGCTGCTGAGGTGAAACTGGGAAATACAAAAGAGGTTGGGTGGGAAGTGGGGGGGGTAGGGGTTGGGGGAGGGGGAGGGGAGGGGAAGGGAGAACGGAGGGATGTTATGGAAAGCGGATTGAGTGCAAGATTTGGTGTCTGGAGTATGTTATAGAAGAGTCTTAGCTGCTACGTCTCTGTATCCTACTACAAGTTGCAGAGTCACCTGAAATCGATGCACTGCTGCTGTCAACTAAGGTTTCTCGGCACATACAGTAGAAGACAGGTAGGGAAGGGGGGGAGGGGGAAGGAGCACAAGGACTGTGCAATAAAAGGTGAAATTCAATGGAAAAAGGTGAAAAACAAGAACAGGAAACTTAAAGAGCCAAGGAGGCATAGAGGCTTACTCAAGGCTCCTGTACGCAATGACTCCTAGCTCGTTATGCACTAGTGGATCCGAGGGGCACAGCCTGCGTGCCTCATCCAGAAACTGGGCATTGGGGAGGTTGGGAAGGGGGGGGGGGGGGTTCCAGGAGAAGGGTGCAAGAGAGGGAACGTTGAGAGAGGGAGCGAGGAGAGAAGGTGGGAGAGGCGAGAATGGAAAGTAGGAAGGTGGTAGAACGGAGAATAAAAAAAGAGGAGAGACGGGGAAGAGGGGAGGAGAAGGGGGAAGAGGGGAGAAGGGGGAAGAGGGGAGAAGGGGGGAGAGGGGATGGACCAAGCTGCTGCATCTACCTTCTGAAACAAGAACAACAAGAGCAAGGAGAAATGGAACTTGCATGCCCCAGGTAGAACCCCAGCTGTATGAGAGATTGACTCACATGCAACGACAAGCTGAGGTTGTTAGAGCGTGCATACTCCATGCCAATGCACACCAGAGGCACATGGAAGCTGCAGAACGAGAGGAAAACCGTGGGGAACGGGAGGGCATGAAGACACAAGAGGGCCACATGGAGGGTAGAGGAGGGGGAAGGGGGTTCGGAGAGGGGGGATAGGGTGTGTAAATTGCAAGTAATAATCTATGGTTCTGCGTACTAGAGGCACCGGGATGATGGCAGCATCTTCCGAAGTACAGTACATACCACATCATACCACATCATACCACATCATACCACATCATACCACATCATACCACATCATACCACATCATACCACATCACTTCACACCACACCACACACCACGCAGTACACTCCATCGCAGCGCGTATCAGAATACACCCTACCCTGTGAAGAGCCGCACTGCTGTGCGATATGCCACCATGGCCTGATCCGTCTCCTCTTGAGCCGCATACGTGTGCCCAAAGCCCATCCACGCGGGGGCGAAGGTAGCGCTGGCGGTGGTGGCCTTGCAGAAGAACCGCCTCGCCTGGTCGTGCTGCCGAGTGCTGTAGTAGTAGCACGCCACTGCGAACCACGCCAGCGCTCTGCAAAGGATATGCCACGGGAGGAGTGTCGGTAGCGGTGGTGATCATGCAATGTGCATTCTCGAGCTGCCTGGTGCAGTAGTAGTAGCACAACACGGCGAACCAAGCCAACGCCCTGCCAAGGATATGCCACGAGCGGGAGTAACACGAACAGTACTAGGGTGCCTTTGAAAATCATCAAAGGCAGCGCTGACAGTGGTGGCCTTGCAGAAGAACCGCCTCGCCTGGTCGTGCTGCCGAGTGCAGTAGTAGTAGCACGCCACTGCGAACCACGCCAACGCCCTGCCAATGTCACAACGCATGCAGGAGAAACAGGAACAGCGTAATGTGCTTGCGAGGATTTTCAGAGGCAGCGCTGGCGGCGGTGGCCTTGCAGAAGAACCGCCTCGCCTGGTCGTGCTGCCGAGTGCAGTAGTAGTAGCACGCCACTGCGAACCATGCCAGTGCTCTGAGGAGTAAGCATGGTGGGTGGGAGTAATACAAGTACGGAATATGTGTCAGTTGTGGGTAAAGGCGGTTGCTGGTCCTGTGCATGCTGCTAGATGCAGTGCTCAGGCCATCGCGAACCATGCCAGTGCCCTGCAGAGCAACCACGAGTGGAAACGTTGCAAATTTATTGTACTGCCACAATACATCCATCGACTCAACGTGTTGGGATGTTCGTCCACAACCTCGTGTGCTGCTCTGAAAAGCTCATTCCTTCTGCCCAAGTGCACCGCTGCTACTGTACTGCACTCAGCCACCCAGGAGGTGCTGGCACTGCTATAGAATAATAGAACCACCAACTCACGTGTTGGGGTGGTCGTCGACAAGCTGGTGTGCCGCTCTGAAGAGCTCGTTCCTCCTGCCCGAGCCAAGTGCACCGCTGCAGCCTGTTAAGGCCACTCACAAGCTACCATCGACTCACGTGTTGGGATGGTCGTCCACCAGCTGGTGTGCTGCTCTGAAAAGCTCGTTTCTCCTGCCCAGGTGCACCGCTGCTACTGTACTGCACTCAGAGCCACCCAAGAGGTGCTACCAACGACTCACGTGTTGGGATGGTCGTCCACCAGCTGGTGTGCCGCTCTGAAAAGCTCGTTCCTCCTGCCCAGGTGCACCGCTGCTACCAGGTGGGTGGGAATGCAGCGAGTGTTGTGGGGATCTCGACCCAAGACACTGCCATGGGAAGGGTGGAGGAGGGAGATGAACAGGAAGGAGGGAGGAGATAGACACAGCAAGCCTGGATGAAAAGGGCAGAGAAGCAGCAAGGGCAGAGCAGCAGCAAGGGCAGAGAAGCAGCAAGGGCAGAGCAGCAGCAAGGGCAGAGAAGCAGCAAGGGCAGAGAAGCAGCAAGGGCAGAGAAGCAGCAAGGGCAGAGAAGCAGCAAGGGCAGAGAAGCAGCAAGGGCAGAGGAGCAGCAAGGGCAGAGCAGCAGCAAGGGCAGAGAAGCAGCAAGGGCAGAGAAGCAGCAAGGGCAGAGAAGCAGCAAGGGCAGAGAAGCAGCAAGGGCAGAGGAGCAGCAAGGGCAGAGAAGCAGCAAGGGCAGAGAAGCAGCAAGGGCAGAGAAGCAGCAAGGGCAGAGGAGCAGCAAGGGCAGAGGACGGAAGGAGGGAGGAGATCCCATCCCATCCCATCACCTCGGTGCACCTAAAGGTGACCAGGGCTTCAAAAAAGGCTGGATGAAAAGGGCAGAGAAGCAGCAAGGGCAGAGGACGGAAGGAGGGAAAAGCATACTGCAAGCTGTATGGTGATGATGACTTCTGTCATGGTAATACGTACACCATTCCCCCACAAACTTACTGCTTTGTGATCCGATACGCATCCTCGTATCGCCCCACGTGCAGCATCAGCTCAGCACGGCTCGTTGCCACGTCACCACTGCCGCCCAGCAACCCTTGCTCCACTGTCCTCCCTCTCCCCCTCCCACCCCCCACCCCCACCACCACCACCACCACCACCACCACCACCACCACCACCACCACCACCACCGTCCTTCGAGGCCCACCCTAGCCCAACTCCTACTCCCGCCTTCTTCCCAACCCTCTCCTCGTTGCCACCCACTCCCCGATCAGTGTCATTCACAGCAGCACCTCCACTAGTAGCAGCAGCAGCAGCAGTTGTGGCAGCGGCAGGTGCAGGTGTTTGCGAGGGTGTGGATGTGGGGCGAGCAGAGATTCGTCTGTTGCCGAGACGGGCTGGCTGGTTGGAGAGAGGCGACGGGCCTTCCAGTAGCTTCAGCTGTTGCTCCATTGCGTCCTCTCTTCCATACTGAAGGGGAACAGAAACATAACAGAAAAAACAAACGCTTCTGAGTCGACTCAAAAGCCTTCCAGCAGCGAAACGGGTTGGCTAGTTGGAGAGAGGCGACGGGCCTTCCAGTAGCTTCAGCTGTTGCTCCACTGCGTCCTCTCTGCCGTACTGAAGGGGAACAGAAATATAACAGCAAAGCAAAGGCTTTTGAGTTAACTCAAAAGCCTTCCAGTAGCTTCAGCTGTTGCTCCACTGCGTCCTCTCTTCCATACTGAAGGGGAACAGAAACGTAAAACCACAGAAAGACCGCGGCACGTTTCAGAGGGGAATCCATCAGATCTGATAAGTTCGGGAGCGACGGGCATGACCGGTAAGAAAGAGGCGACGTGATCGCAGACATGGGAGCAACGAAACGGAACTCCGTCTGGAAAAAGGGAATGAGGGTATTACCTTCTTGCAGCGGCACGAGTAGAGCAGACGCAGCCACTCGAATCCAGCAGGGATGTTGAGAGACTCCACCAGATCAACCTCTGCAGAACACATACGAAGATGGGCGGCAGATGGAAGGCAGATGCGCAACGTTTTGAGGCGCGACAAAAACTGAAGCCAGCAGGGATGTTGAGAGACTCGACCAGATCGACCTCTGCACAACACATATGCAGATGGCCGCCGATGGACGGGAGATGGGCAGCCCAAGGGAGGGCAACACGATTTAGGCGATATGTAAGCGAGGACGTAGAAGGAGCAACTGAGCAACTGATTAAAAGAGGCATGCCGTTTGTAATGTCCCATAGGAGGGAAGGAGGGAGGAGGTCAGATAGCGGGTTTTCTAGGCCCTAGGTGCGAGTCGTCACAGCATGGGAGCACATGAGGCATCCCGTGACTCAGTGCCCAGTGCGCTTCATCATGCCCCCCTCTTCATACTCTCAATCAACACCTGATCGATTGATTTGGATCGACACAACACAGACCCATCTATTCACACTCTTTCACGTCCATTGATAAACATTAGACACACCAGAAACACCAGACACGCCAGTCGTGTCATGCTACACCAGACGGCATAAAAATCACCACATTGCGCGCGCCCATCACAAAAACAAGACAAAACCTTACCTTGCTCATCCGTATCATCTGGGTCAAGATCTAGCAGCACTCGCTCACCTTGTTCGGTTGTTAGCATATGATTTTCCATCAGCTCATCAAATGCCTGAGGTGAAAGTGACACGCAAACAGAGAGATAGACATGGGGAGGGACACAGTAAGGAAAGGCAGCTCATCCATTGTAAGAACACAGCTTCTCCGTTGTAAGCACACAGCAAGCAAGGTAAGTCATCACCGGGAATCGTTGAACGCACGAGTCTGGAGACGCACCTCTGAGCAAAACGGATCAGCTTGCAGCGCAGCCGAAAGCCTGAGAGGTGGAGAGCGACAAGGGAGAGAAAACATTTACAAAAAAAAAGGGATAAGCCAATGAGACAGGCCCGGGGAAGTGGGACGGACGAAGGCGGGTTCGGGTGACACTGACAGAAACAGGAGAAGAAGGAAGTTGCAGCTGTACGGCAAAGATTTGCAGGTAAAAGCGGAAAGGAAGCGTCAGACGGGAGGAAAGAGGGCTGCAGAAGACGCAGGTATGAAGGTCAACGAGCTGATGGTCGTTGGCTGGAGCATGTATTGACTGTCAGCTCAGCATGCGAGCATGCTCAGATTCAAGCGTTGTGTGTAATCAGAGCCCATTGGGGTTGTCAGGATTTGATGGTGCTATGAGAATCATCACGGCAAGATATATGTGTGTGGAAACGGAGAGAGATCAAGCAGCCAGATCCCGCAGGAAAACTGGAGAAGACTTCCAGAGAAAACGAAGTAGAGGCCATACTGCAGATAAAACAAAATGATGAATGAAATTATTGATAAAATAAAATGATGTACGCACGCGTATGAAAACAAAAAAAGGTAAGGACGCAGGACCATAAATAGTTATCAGTAAGCGGACATGCTCAGATTCAAGCGTTGTGTGTAATCAGAGCCCATTTGGGTCGTCAGGATTTGATGGTGCTGTGAGAATCATCATGGCAGGTGGCAGACGCGCAGGCACAGGAGAGACCAGACGACCAGATTCTCCAGTAAAAAGGGTAACTGGGACAGGGCAACTAGGTATAGGGTTTATATTGGAAACAACGCATCATAATAGTGCGAAACGATCTTGTGATACAGTGGCAACGACGTTGATAAGGACAGCTTGTACGGAAACGTAGATCTGCTCAGATACAATAGATGTTGTGTAATCAGAACCCAACAGTAGGTATCAGGATTTGATGGTGCATTGTTTGTCGTCACAGCAGATCGCACGATGTCAGGTTCAGCCGAAAGTTAGGGCATATGCGTGAAAAGGAAAAGTAGGAGCGGGGGTCAGATAGCGGGTTTTCTAGGCCCTAGGTGCGAATCGTCACGGCATGGGATCCCGTGAGGCATCCCGTGACTCAGTGCCCAGTGCGCTTCATCACATCCCTTCTATTCTCACTTGCTCGAGATACTCTTCCACTTGACACAACCCATTTCTATAATAATACAGAAAACAACGCGCGTGGTGTCTGCTAAGCGAGTAAACAGAACTTGATGGTCGGCGCCAGGACTTTATGATGGAATCTTTATCGTCATGGCGGGTTGCACAGCAGAAAGGCTGACGAAACACCAAGAAAGATGCAAGCGGAAATCGCTCCAGGGAGGACAAGTTGTTGAGCGGGGGGTCAGGTAGCGGGTTTTCTAGGCCCTTAAGTGCGAATCGTCACAGCATGGGAGCCCATGAGGCATCCCGTGACTCAGTGCCCAGTGCGCTTCATCACACCCCTTCAATTCGTACTTGCTCGAGATACTCTTCCGCTGCACACAACCGCTTTCTTTAATAATACAGAAAAACGACGAGCCTGGTGTCTGCTAATCGAGTAAACAGAACTTGCTGGCCGGCGCCAGGACTTAATGATGGATTGCTTATCGTCATGGCGGGTTGCACTGCAGAAAGGCCGACGAACACCGAGAAAGATGCAAGCGAAAATCGCTCCAGGGCGGACAAGTTGTGTGGGGGGTCAGGTAGCGGGTTTTCTAGGCCCTAAGTGCGAGTCGTCACAGCAAGAGAGCCCATGAAGCATCCCGTGACTCGGTGCCCAGTGCGCTTCATCACTACCCCCGCACCCGCACTGCTCTTTATCGCGCACATCTCGTACTCGTTAGCAGAAAAAACCTACTTGAAGGAGGTAACCACACGGCGTACCAATGGATCGCCTTTGGTCGATTCCCGAGAGCCTCGTACGCGCGACCGCGGATCAGATTGAACGCCGCTGCTGGCTGTATGTCAGCAAGGTAGGAGGGAAACCACAAGCCAGACGGAAAAAAATACATCAACCGGAGGAGCATAGGAGGTCACGACACATGTAGCCGATCGAACGATAAAATGCGGTACATGGAGGGTACAGATGATGCATATGTCACAGCATGTACCAAATCCGCTAAAAAAACAGCGTAAGAGAGAATTTAAACAACACCTTGATTCCATTTCGTGGTGAATCTTCAGACGCTCCTCCAAATGTAGGGGTGGACAGATCCAATCTCGTCGGAGCAATACCGTCAGTGGGCGTAAGAAATCCTCCACCAGGTACCGGCGTAACCGGGAAGCCGGACAAGCTCTTCCCACCACCAGGAGCTCCAGAGTTATTTGCGTCTTCCAGCAATGCAAGGCATTCCTCCCAGTCCTTGACTTGCTCCTGCTCAGAACGTCACCATCATAGGAGTCCAGTGAGGCTTCTCGTCCGCCTGCCAGTCCTACACCACATCAGAAGGGAACCCAGAATTCAAAAGCGACCGATTCAATTAAGCTACAGTAGCGATGTTCAGAATGCTCAGTGTGTGAGCACTACTCAAGATACAAGTCATACGCGCCAGACCTTGCTAGAAGAACGAGAAAACAAACGAAGAAACAAAAGCCGTTCAAGAAAATAAGAAGTGAAAAGGTTTACTGACCAAGCATTTCGCTGCAAGAAGTCGAAAGCGGGTGTCGGAATGGACTAGATCCTCGGCCCGCAAAAGCCTCAATGCTCGTCTGAATTGCCGCGAACCATAGTAGCATCGCGCCAAGAGGAGGACGTCCTCAGGATCCTGAGAGGATAAGCAAGCGAGCTTATCGGCGAGAAACGAAGCGGAGCTGATCAGGTTCTTGTCCAGGCAATCGCGGACGATCCCACGAAGGCAATCGAGCTCTAACATGGCGACAACGAATCCTAGACCAATCGAAGAATGTTGTATTAAGATAGGGAATTCATAATACAAACGATACGCTTCGGATGAACTGCAGCGGAAACCACAGCAGATTCAATGGTACTGGTTCAGATGAGGATGGAAAATTCTGGATTACAGCAGATTCAATGGAGAGCTGGATCACAGCAGATTCACAGCCGAACTGAGCCCAGGGCCCTGTTCGGTAGCCCTCCCAGTCATACTGCGGTTGGTGCGTGCGATCTTCTCTTTCCTATATTCAAATTGCTTAAATCCCAAAAAACCGTTATTAGAACACCGAGCCTGTCCAGTGCAACTGGGCTACCGAACGCATAAAAACCCCACTTCAACTGCGTGCTAGGACACTACCACGAAACTGTCGCGCCCAGGCAAACTCGACAGTCAGTGGAAGTCCCTCCCATTTCAGCTTTCCAGTTCAACCCAGGCAGGCCAGCTCAGAGTGGCAGGCTGGAGGGTATACGCTGCACTAGTTTCGATTCGGCTCAAATTAAAGTTTTTTAGCACGCTCTTTCAAACGATGAGAGATCGTGCCCGTTCCTAATTTTCTTTATCCATATCGACCGTTTTTCATTTGGCGGAGTGATTTTTTGTTTGTGGTTGGGGCAGCCTCGTACAGCATTAAAAGTTTCGGCAAGTAATTTCCCAAGAAACGCAAGGTAACTTCTTGCATTTGGGAACGAGACTTCCTTTCAGTGTTAGTGGACGCCCGAGGCTACGAAACATTTCGTAGGCTTCCCCAGTTCGAGTGGCCCAGTGTGACTGGAAGGCTACCGAACAGGGCCCAGATGAAAATTTGAAGAGTTGAAACAGGGAAGGATGGATGGAAGGTGTTGAAGACTTCACCACCCAAGCACCTGCGCCACAACTACACTCCAGTTTTGAATGAGAGAACTCGTTGTGCGAACAAAGGCTTGACAAAAACGGATGACGGGATGTATTGGTACTGATCATTGTATGGAGAATTTTCGCCCAGTGTCTTACGCTGATATGTAAACTCATATTTTTACATGCAGTGTACCGAGAACGAGCGACCGTTGCACGAACTTGGGGATTGTCAGGGCGGGAAACGGGCTGTTTCTCGGCGAGTCGGGGAAGGTGCGATGACAGTGACACATCGCCATAGCAGAACACCGATCTTGCGCGGCGGATCCCCTTTCCGCTCCGCCAAAACGTTCCGTTGGTGCAATATGTTGGAGGTTCCGCATCTGTTTCCGCCTATTTCCCGCTCCGCGGAAGGTTGCAGTCGGTTTGGTTGT